GACTTGTGGAATTACAAAATTTCCTTCTCCATCGACTTGCATAGGTTCACCACTGGTCATTTGAGAAACTAAAGCTGCTGCTGTTGTTGCCTCGTTACCATTACAACTATCTTCTGTTTTTCCATCGCCTTCTGTAACATCATCCGTAGTTACCATAAAAGACAGACCACCAGATGGTTCTTGAACAGGATCTATTAAACCTGCTTCTGCCGCGAGAGCAGCTAAAGCTGCGTCTGTGGTAGCTGGACCATCAGAAGTGGATGCTACAATTTTCAATAATACATCCATAGAGATGTTTCATCAAAGCAGCGATGATGATTGCTAGACTTGTATGGAATATTTATAATTAAATGCTTACCCAATGAAGCTGATGGTTGCTTTTGCGGTGGAACAAAAAGCATTTTACTGGTGTCTATTGTTTCTGATGCACTGGATGTAGTAACTATTGAACTACTCGTGGGCATTAAAGTAACAGTTTTAGCACCTATACCTCCTGACATTTGCAATGTTACAGGTTTTCCAGAAACTGCAACAGTCTCCTAAAATAATATATATATATATACACGAGAACAAATTAGAACGATTGGCAAATGAAAATGTACGTGTACGTACAGAAAATAAAATTTAAGATATACTTACAGATGCTTTTTGAATCTGAGGCATTGTAACTATTTGACTTTTCCCAGGATTGAATATTGCTTGAGGATTTCCTTTAGTTGCAATAGTTACCGTCTTTGGTACACCACCCTGTCCTGGCACTGTAATGGTTATTGGCTTTCCAGCTGTAGCCCCACCCATTGCTCCAGAAGATACCACAATCATTTTGACTCCTTGTTGATTGGTTACGTGATTTGTAGCAGATAGAGGTAAAACGTTAACAGGAGTGGTTAAACTACCAGTCTGACCAGTACCAGCTTGAGAGGTAGTCACAGCTTGTACAGCTCTCAAACTAGACCCCGTGGTAACAACAATAATTTGATTTGTTCTTCCAACCAATCCACCATTACCACCAGGTTTAGTAATCATTATTGTTTGTTTCCCGCTTATATTTTGTCCTTTACTCATAGCCACAATGCTGGATGTTTTCATAGTCGTTAATATTTTAGATCCTGTGACGGTATTAGGATTAACAAGTCTCAATATTGTAGGTCCTTGATTAAGCGGCTTTGCTCCAGTCGCTTGAACAGTTTTCCCAGGGATGAGACTTACTTTAGGCACTGTGGCTACCATACCTTGGCCAGTTTTAAGAAGATGCACGATTTGGGGCTGACCAGATATATTTTGGCCTGGTTTCTGAAGTATTATTTGTTTACTTTGTTGTGGAGATGCAGTACGCAGTACCGTTGCTCCGGGCGCAGCGAAACGAATTTGCTGACCCGGTTGGACATTCTTCATTCTAATAGTATTGGCGGTGGTTTGCGGTATTACGGGTACATTATTCATATTTATTTTTGGAGTAGCAGCAGCAGCTGCAGCCAAAGCTGCAATTCCTGACATAGCAGTCGGCGTTTGACCAGTTACAGTTGTGATAGGAGTAGTTTGTTCTGTAGTTGTACTAGCCGAAGTTGCCATAGGTGATCGAATTCTTATAAGATTTCCAGCCACTCTTGGAGTCATAGGATTCGTTACCTTTGGTGTTACTTGTGGTACCTTTTGGGCAGGACTTTGTACGGTTGATTGCGCTCTTATCGGAGTTTGAGGTACTGATGATCTAGCACAAGTTGGAGTCGATGGAAGAGATGCAACAGTTGTAATGGGAGGAGTTGTTACAGGTATGGTTGCAGGTGTTGCCACTGCTGATGTTGTAACCGGTGTACTAGTAGGAGCGCTGACAGTTGGAAATGTTCCGGTTGAAGTAGGAGGAATATCATATTTTTGAATTTGTAAAATATAATATTGTGCAGAAGGCGTAGGAGTCCAATTGACTTCCAATGTTTGAGTGGAAGCCCTGACAAGTTGAACGCGAGTAGGTGCTATTGGTTTGCTCACTTCGAGATACCAAAGATCTTTACAACATACCTGCCAATTGATTTCAAAATACTGTCAAAAAAACCATTTCTTCAGATAATATTTTCAAAATAATAGCTAACCCTAACCTGGTTGTTCCACGCTTTACGATAACCATCGCGTCCGGACCATACATATAATCTACTGTGCACACCAACTGCACAATGTCCAGCACGCGCACGTGGTACATTTTCTTCAAGAGAATCCACTGTCAATTGTTCCCAAGTTAATGTTTCTAATAAAAAGAAACAAAATAAGCATATTTTAATTTATTGTTTACATTTGTAAAAGAGAAAAGAAAGACAAATAATAAACAAACGTTTACTCACCTAAATTTAAACATGCTAATGTACTTGTACATTTCCACTCTTTTTCGTGTGTTGCTACTTTTACATCGTCCACAACAAGAGGTACCCATCCACCAAAAATATACATTCTATGACCGATCAAAGTGGCAGTATGAAGAGAACGCGGTAGTGGAGTAGGTCCATGAACTACCGGCTTGTTCCATGTCATGGAATCGACGTCGAGAAACCATAGGTCACCCAAACGACAACCACTCATACCACCATAAATAACCAAGCAAGATTTACCTGTAGTACGGTCTGTATAAGCAACGCCTGTGTGTGACTCCCGAGGCGGAGGGGCATTGCAATGAGTTAGCGGAATATCCCATGCTGTTGTTCCATTCGAAAGCAATTCCAATGTATAGAGGTCATTTAAATATCTTGGTATATTATTTTTTGGATCTTCACTGTCATTGGCCAAGCCTCCGAATAAGAAGACTCTATTCCCAATAAGGGTAAAACTATGGCCCAACCGTGGACAAGGTGGAGGATCATGTTTCGGTGGTTTAGGTCTTAATCTTTTCCATTCCCATCTACTTGCTTGAAGTTCATAGAGTTCATTAGAATATTTGCCATATTCTACCATTCCACCAAAAACTAGTATACGTGTGCCATCGACCACGAATCCATAGGCTGCGCAACCAGGTGGAATATCGCCTTTGGTTGTTGGTACAAACCATTGATTAGTAGCTGTAAAAAAAGAATGTTACTCCATTTAATTACATTTTGGTCATATAATATTAAATATAGTTAGACGAAAGGAAATATTTATTGATATAGTTTTAATAAGTAAAAGAGAGAGAAAGAAAAAAATGTTGGTAAACTAGCAAGCGGCAGCGGTAGCAGCAACGGTGATATCGCTTACGTTCGAAATAGGAGTCGGAATATAAAAATGAAAACTAGAGGAGGAGAGAGGGATAGCTAGCATAATAGAAAGAAAGACGGAGCATGAACGCGGAATGATGGGATACAGCTCGGCGCAGTGTTGCGTTTCGTTTCGTTGCATGGCGTTGCGTGGTGGGGGTGAAGAGATAGCAATGGCTGCTCCCGCGCGTATAAACACGAAAAATGACATTACGAGTAGAAGCTAGCAATGAAACTATCGCAAAATAGGATGAAAGAAAAAAGGAAGAATACTAGTTTAGAGAAAATTTTCAAATTAATTGATCGAAGGGAGCATTAAGGATTGGCAAGGCAGAGATTTGTTTGATCTCAATCGGTTCCGGCCGGTGACCGTCTTGTCAACGAATGCCGCCATCTTGGATCGCGGGAATCGTTAGGATCAGGCGCGCAAGGACGCAGAATAGCGCGAAATTGACTCACCTGTGTTATAGACATGAAGTTCATCTACTATACCCTCGTTTCCACCACCGAAAACAACCATAAGATCCTTAATGGCTACCGCCCTATGCCCGTGTCTGGGTCTTGGCTGAGGCCCGGCCGGATTTGTGATTCGCTTCCACTTTAACATGGGTGCCGCCATTATGACCGTCGATCACATCATTTTCTCATGCCGCGCGACTATACACACTATTTCCCCCAGAGCCAACCGAACCTCCCCGATGCTACCAAAATCCTTTTATCTTCTTTTTTTTTATGTTAGACTTTGAGATAAAGAGAAATTAAATTATATCTTTTCCTTCTCTTTTATTTTTCTTTTATTTAGTTCTTTAAACTTCTTATCACTGTCTTATCTTTCGATGAAAAATTATAAAATTTCTTCGCATAGAGGGACAAAAAGTTGGCGCTTTCGATATACTTAAGACCGTCTAGATAACACCAATCCGTACCTCTTCGAGACTCTAACCTCCCTTACTACGTGATTTCAGATGGACTTAGTATGTGGACTATTTCACTTAATAATTATTAACTAAAGGAACACTTGAAATGTCGAAAAGAATAAGGTTACGTCGCAATGGAAAACTCCGAAGATCGAGAAATTGTGCGTAACGTTAACACGTATACACAGGGAGGACGCAGAGCGCGTATTTACTCGCACGATGTTTACGGCACTGGTCTCGCGTATTCTAGTATGTATTCTAGTGCGTATTCTGTGTCCGCTTACCAAACGCTAATGGCTTAACCGTGTATATACTTTTCGCATTGCACAATCATCCTACTACGAGCTAACGCTAATAACAATTGACAGATCCTTATTCTACAATGATCTCCTTATTAAATCAATCCCGGTTTACACTATTCAGATTTATTGGTCAAGTTCCGTCAAACCGACGAAAAGTGGCGCGCCAAAATTTTCACTATAAAGCAATTGTCACTAAAGTCACACGCGAATACCAATAAAACAACAATCAATATACAGAAGGGCTCGCAGTTAATAGATATGATCGAATAAATTTATTCTAATCAATGATCTGACAGCACGTACAAGCAGCCTCCACGATCTTCGTCCATTATTGCACAGCACTTGCATTGCTAAGAACCAATTTTCTTACCAACTGAAACGAACATAGGAACTTTTGACATTTTTCCTTAGGTGCAACAATTATAAACAAATAGCAGTATAGTGAAATTAATTTTACAAATTAACAAAAAAAAAAAGAAAAGAGAAATTAAATACAAAATTGTGAGATAAGGAAAAAATAAAATTTAATATTATACAATAGAAATCCTTCTAGGGATTTAAGTCATAATTTGCATTAAAATACATTTTACGATTTATACTCGTATTTAACTTTGATATTGTTATTTAAAAATAATCAAATCCAGTTTACAAGACATTCATTTGTTTCATTATTTTCGACAATTCTATTCGTTTACGTGCTCTTAGCGAGCACATCCTATTGTGGTCCTTTATATCTATACATACATCGTCATCCATGCTAAATGTTTCTAGATGGTTAGTAAAAAATGACTAAATGAAAATCGACTTATTAAATAGCGGTGTTTCTGATTAAATTTAAATTAATTTCAATATATGAAACTAATATAATTTAATGGTAGAGTTATATGAAGTATATCCAAATTTAATATCTGCAGTATATATTTATAAAACTATATATTTTTTCCGTTTTACAATGCGATTGCACTTATATTCCGAGAGGAACTTATACGTAATATAAATGTAACTGAAATGTATTTCTTCATTTGTTAATACATTATGGTTAATATCAATTATTTAAACATGTACTTGTAGATAATCAATACATAATATTTAGAAAAAATTGAAAAAAATGAAGTTTTAAGGAGAAATACTTACAAATAATCAATATTTCGCTTAATGCATTAAATTGAAGTTAGTAATATAAATAAATATCCGAGGATACTGAAATGCAATCTTATTACACTAGTTTTACTAAATAATATAATATAATTACATATGTATTTTTAATCCAATGCACTCTTTGCCGATCTCTGCAACTTCGCAAATTCTGCATAATGATTCTTTAAACTGAGGTTGATAGCTTGCTCCGCAAAGTGGACATTTTACTTCTTGTTTGCCTCTATAAATGGGCGTAAATGTGCTAGCACATAACGAGAATGGATTATGTTCGTCGTAAGCCAATTGATGCTCATCGCTCGGATTTTTATCGCATGCCTGTGAAAGAAAAAAAAAATATATATATAATAAAGTCCTACTCAGTTTTATACATTTACACATGCAATAAAAAATGCAAATTGAACCTGTAAAAGTTTTCGAACTTGCTGTGCCAATTCAGGCTTGGGACCAAGTTCAAGCAATCTTCTGGCGAAAGAACCAGCAGTTTTGTAATTCTTTAACTTGAAAAATATATTAGCAGCTATTCTTAAAGTTAAAATTTGATGAATTGGTTGCAAATTACAATGAGTAAAATACGCAGCCATTTCACAAATTCGTTTTTGTTCGGCTAATGTATTTTTCGGCAGATTTTTCCTTTCCGTTTCCATTTTTAAACCTAAAATATATTCTCGACATATTTGAATTAATTGTTGAGCTTCCGCGATATCTTGTTTAGTATCAACAACTAATAATGGAATGCTAAGTAATATTGCCTGCAGTTTTTCAATCGCTTCGGCAAATTTCCCTCCCGTTGTTAATTGATAACAAACTTGAAGTCTTTGAACTAAATCTGTAAGGTGTAATCCGACTGCAGGTAAATTAGTTTTTGGCGTAGCATCTTTCCAATTTCTTTGAGGATATCCATATAATGATAATATATTTGGTAAAGATGCAAACGATGTCCTGGCACGAGCATACGTATTTAAAAAGAGAGATTGGTAAGGTGCAAATTCAACGACGCCAACTTGACTATTCAATAATCTGAAAGCTGTTTCAAAAGATCCAGCTAGTATATGATCTACACTCAGTTGAGAATTATTAACCCAGTGTTGCGTTTGCGGCACTCCTCTCGTCGGAATAGCATAATAACCATCTTCGGACAATGGTATTGCATTTTCTAGTTCTGGAGGAAGATCTACATCTTCAACATCCCAACCGGCGGTGTCTTCCCCTTCCGCGTTAGGTTCTGCCGCATCAATACCTTCTTCGTCGTCAATTCCTAATTCTTCATCATTACCCCAACCATCCGCAACAACTGCGGTATCATCTTCTGGAGCCAAAGCTGCAGCCACTTGACTCTTACCACGAGACATCATAGCGCTCTCGAAGAAGCCTTTCAAAACGGTCAACAGCGGCCAATTATTTTCGGCTTGTTGAATAGGTACTGGTGGATGAAGATATACAGCTCCTTTTTCAAGCGCTGAAAGTTCATCCTGCATAGAGCTATACTGAATGTCATCGTCTTCATTTGAAATGCCATGAATTTTTTCCGTTACATAGGCTAACGATGCTTGACCTGAGTTCTATGATACAAACAAAAAGACAAATAAGTCGCAACGAATATACGATATTCTAGAGAGAGAAAGAAAAGGACATTATACCCTCAAGATTTTTGCCCGTTCATAAATATCACCAAGTAGCAAGCTACCTTGATACTGTCCAGATACATCTTTTCGTATTTCTGCAATTTTTATCATTTTACGTAACTTTTCCAAATTCCCAGTAATGAGGTAAAGAAACGACAATTTCTCAAAATTCTTAGTTCTTTGATAACACATTTCTACAACTTGATGATTGCCTTGCATTAAAGCAGCTTGTGCTAAACTTTCCCAACATGATTTTTGATCTAAAGATCTTGCTGCCTCCAAAGCAACTTCAATATTACCACATTCAAGGGCAAGCCCGAATCTTGTTTTTTCATCTTTAACAAAATGTAATGCAACTTCTGGATATCCTTTTTGTTGCAAATATGCTATTATGGATTGACCTACAAGATTAGCCGTGCGAACCATGTGTAATACTTCCTCGTATTTTCTATTAATAAGAGCTAATTTGAATTTATATTCTGTCGGATCTATACGTAGGATTCTTGGTCTACATTCTCTGTCAAGACAATATACTTGGTTTCCTTTTACTCTAGTTACATAAATAGGTAAATCCAACGTACGAATGATACCATGATCACCATTATTAATTGCATATTTGATATGATTGCTAGTAGTATATATAAATACTCCAGAATCATCCCAAGCTCCAGATTTGACTCTTGTATTTTCAGGAATAGAACAGAGAGATTCTAATTTGCGATTGCAAATGTTGACGGTATGTTTAGCCAACAAAGCAACATGAGACATGTCATTAGACCAAACCACATATCTACATTTAGAAATTTTCACTTCGGCTAAAGTTCTTTTTTGTTGGACATCAAAAAGTGTGACTTGGTCTGCATCTCTTAGGAGTAACATACCTGTACCAGCATAAAATATTTCATCGCAATTTGGGATCTGTACTTTCTTCGTTACTTCATTTTTTAAATTCTTTATGACCAACTGAAAAAGAAAATGGTTATTGTTGCTTGATCCGAAAAAAGAGATAGTTAATTATAAATAATTAATATTTTGTCATACTGAGTACGCTCTATCTAAAACTGCAAAACGATTCCTAGCAACCCAAATGGCAGTGACACCGGAAGCACGTTTGGTATCAGCATCTGTATTGGAGTCACCTTCGCGCGGTATCACATAAAGATCATAAGTACTGTTCTCAATATTTGAGGGTGATCTTGTACAAATAAGAACAGCATTTTCTGCTTGATTGAATGACATGCTGTACGGGGGCGTCTTTCCTCCACCACGAATTTGCATCACTGAAGTATCTTTAGAAGTAGTAAAATCTAATTTACGAAGGAAACGTTCCTTTACGTAATAAAGTAGATTTCCATAGAACGCATAAGCTGGTCTTTCCCTCTCCAATTTGAAGATTATCATACCAGAGTCGTGACCGGCTGCAAACAAATTTAAAGTAGGATGCGCAGCAAGTACCCAAAATCTTTCGTGTTCTCTTCTAAACGTGTGCAAGCATGTGCGTTTAGTCATATCCCATACTCTTATGCTTTTATCTTCCGAATTAGATAGAATTAAGTCTTGCCTAGGATGAAATAAAACGCAGGAAACATTATTATAGTGTCCCCGGCAAGTATCTAGCTCCCAAGCTTTAGCATCGTTCATACGCCACATCTTAATTTGACGATCATCGGCTCCAGAGACAATTAATGGTAACGATGGATGGAAACAAGCCCAGTTAACGCCTCGGTCATGACCTTCCAAAACATGTTTGACTACGGCATCAGCTTGTCCAAATAGATCTGTAGCTCCAGGATTTTTTAAGTGATCTTCTAAACCACCTGGTCCAGGAGCTACATTTTTTTTGCGTAATCCTGATATGTCCCAAACTCTAACAGACTGATCCAATGACGCAGATACAATAATATCTTCAGTTGGATGAAATTGAGCACACATTACATAGTGATTATGACCGGTTAAAACGCAAATACAAGTACGACTTTGCCAATTCCAGATACGTATGGTCTGGTCATCCGAAGCACTCAGGATCCATGGATATTCTTGATGAAACACTGTTGACCTAATATAATCCAGATGGCCTAATAATGTAAAAATACACCTACGTTGCTTATAATTCCATACTTTGATTTTATAATCATCGCCACCAGATACAAACAAAGGTTGTTGACTATGGAAACATATTCCTCTTACAGGACCATCATGTTCATCGAATTTGTCTAAGAGAGTACACATGCGATAATCCCATAATTGTACAACACCATTGTGTAAACTATAATATAATGTATATAAGTATATTATAAAACTTGTAAAACAATTGACAGTTCCAGATACATGATTAATAAAAAGAAATAATTACCTAGCAAGGACCCAGGGACGTTTTGGATGAAAAGATAAACCCTTAACTCGAGCCGATTTTGTTTCAAATTTTGTTAACATTTTGTTAATTATAATATAATTACAATAATTCCACAGATATCAATAAATTTGTCAAGTTACAAGCAGCAAGACACGTCATTGCACGTTATTAACTGTGGAATGAAGTTATAAACGATATAGATTACTTTCTCTAAATCATTTTTTATTTTCGTTACAAAATAACGCCGGTAGAGGGAGACAAAAATGGCGGAAATTGAGCATATGCGTATCGGCCTTCCTTCGCATAACGTGTATTCATTGACCTATCAGAAATGACGGTTAGTTGCATGAAATGATCTGTATATTCTATAACCTCACTTTCATTCTGACTACATAATCTAGAGAATTACTAAAATATCTTGCATAACTTCACATTATACTTTTATTATTTGATAAGAGATTATCATTGAAACTAATGAAATATATTTAAAGAAATTTTATTTTTGTTTAATATACATTCTAGATTTAGGATTTCTTATGCAGACAGATTTATATATATATAATAGCTCTACGCCTATCTGACATAATTCTATCGATTAGATTATCGATAAACTTTAATGGTACTTGTAATTTTTGTGATGTTCTGAAAAAAAAGGAATAAAGCTAAATTAAATTGTACATATTAATTGATTTCCCTTAAAGGCCATGCATCATTAACTATATTAACTTACTAATTCTTTGGTAATTTAAGACATAGAAAAATACTGAAAGTCCTACTGCCATTTGGAAAAACGAAGCTATACCAGCACGTTCAGGAAATACATACTTATGTTGCCAACGCCAATATGCTGCAAGGAAAGAAACCTTATTTTTATTACATATGCATGTATATGGTAAACATCAAGTTATATAATCAAAATGACAATCGAGATTATCTAATAAAAGGAAAAAAGATTTACCGCGTGAAATCGCTGATGTCATAGCTTGAGGATGAAAACTTCTCCTACCAAACCAAGCTGGAAGTTCACCTATTTTCACTTCACCAAAAGGAGTATCAGCTATAAAAATGTCATTATAGATTAATAAAATATATGCATATACGAATAGATAACATAAAAAATGAAATATACGTTTTCCATAGTAACGAGCTGGATCATAAGGACCATGCTTTGCTCTATCATATTCAGCGGGATAATCGCCAAAACCCATAACGAATGATAGAAAAAATATTTCGATTAAAGATTAAATTCCTTCTCGCACAACTACCAAGTAATCAGGATTCTTCTTATCTTCATATAATATGCCATCTCTAGAGGTGCAACTACAATTCAATCGGTCCTGTTGTCTTATTGGTGGATACTAAAAGCCTATCAGAAACGTCACAAGTTGGACGGTTTAAAAATTGATTTTTTTGGTCTTCTGTTTTTTAATTTTAATTCTATTTTGCAATAAATTTTTTTAAACTTTAATGCATAATTCGCATTTAACTTTAAATATATCAACAATGAAATACATAATAATAAAATAGTGCTAGAAATTAAAATAAGTAAATAAGTTAAATTTAGTCTAACTTGATAATTTACTATGAAAGGATTATAAGACAAAAAGAATTTAAAAGTTAATGATAAGATTTAAGATATAATTATAATATATTTGAATATTTGCATTAATTGTTTAAATAATGTAAGATTTCATGCCCATTAGACCAAGGAATGATTGTTGCTTTTACGGTATGTGTAATGTCGTTTGTTTGATATTCTTTCAATTTTTTCAAAAGCGGATAATCTATTCTAGGGAATGCTAAATCATTTTCAGACAAACGTAATACTGGACAGAGATCGTTTTTTCCATCTCCAACGTATGCGATTCTCTTAAAATGAATTCCTTCCTCTAATCTTTCCTTGATGTAATTTTCTAGTATATGACCTTTACATAAATTGATCATACTTAGTTTACAAAAATCTTGAACGTGATACATGTTTATCTTGATCATACCATCGTCAGAAACGTGTGCAGGATTGGTAAATACTTTACTAATCGATTTGTCTAATTGTCTACTTTTTAACCATATATCTATTAATAATGAATTCGAATCACTGATAATAATGATTTCATATCCGAGGATATGTAATTCCTTTATAAGAACATCAAATCCAGGAGTAGATGGTATATCGATTATAGCTGCTTCTATTTCTTTTAATCCAATTGAATTTTTATGAAGCAATTCAAAGATTTTGTTCATGTATAATGTCCATCCATTTTTAAGATATAAGTTTTGTACCTCGTCGGTTAACTGATCATCTGGTAATAAATTACGAACGATTAAGTCGGTATTGTCGTCAACAATCGTATGATCAAAATCAAATACAATTAGGGTAGGCAAATCCATCTACAAAAAAATGATTATAATTATTATTTTTATTATCAACTATTTTTAATATTATTTCTCATGATTTCTATTAAATTCATTAATGTATTTATGAAATATTGAATTGGGGTTTAAATTGTGTATACGTTATTGAAAAGAATTTGTTTAATTATCAGATGATTTTTAGAAACTTATTCATAAATAATTTAAATTACTACCAAATATTTTCATTATGATTTAGGAAAAAACATATTTAATTATGCATACGTATGCACCTTCTTGCAGGATTAATATGTTGAAATAAATTTTATTTTTTATTTCTTGATTTTTATTCAATATTTACTTAGATCCGTGAAAAAAATTAAACGCAAAGAACAACAAACATTAGAGACTTTTCCCCATAGAGCTTTTCCCACGCATGAAAGATACCACAGCAACTGGAAAGAAGGTTGGTGGCGTTCTAGTTTATTTGCGTGCGTGATTATGATTATAATCGAAGTGATTTGAACTAAAACGTAGTTTAATTATTTATTGATTAACTATTAAATATGATGTCTGGAAGATCTGCAGTAACAGGTCAATATTTTTATAAATATATGATTTTTTTTTTATCGTTAATATTGTTTTTAACAATGTTTTCTTTAAATTGTCCTAATTTTATAGGTTATAAATTCTAAATATATACTGCTTAATACTTTGTATTAAAATATTTTTTTATTCGCCTGAATAAAACAAAGGCATGTGTAATATATAATATATGTAATAATATAAATCTTATTCGAATAAATATTTATTTTGCAGAAAACCCTTTGGGATTTTCTTGGCACGACAGTGCGTGGATTCCTGTACTTAATCCAAGTAATATAATGGATTATTTTTCTGAAAGAAGTAATCCTTTCTATGATAGGACATGTAATAATGAAATAGTTAAAATGCAACGTCTAAGTCCTGATCAATTAACGTAAGATTATCCTTGAAATTAGATTTAACTCTCTATGGGCCAGTGTTACTTTCAGGTAGCATGCTAATTTTTCGGCATTTTACTAAATAATTTTAGTTTTTTTAATAAGATGGCATATCTACATGCTAATGCATATCATTGGATTCGTCTTGACAGCCGCTATCAAATTTATTAATCAATCATATCGCTATCAAAATTATTAATGCCATGTAGGTGGGATTTTTCAATGTTATTTAGGGTTTCAAGAATATTATCTATTAGAGAGAGGGATATAGAGAGAGAATTTATATTGTTATTTATAAATTTAACTTAAAAATAAAGAGAGATATTTATTTAACATGTTAACTGTGGTGTGGGCCACCGGTGATCTCAATTTAACTTCGCTACAGCGCCATATAAGACACTGGTGATCAGAGATGCAACTAATGATAAAAATATATAATTAGAATAAATATGGATACTGATAAATTTTGAAATAATATTATTGTTTTTATAAGGGTTTGAAGAAATTAATAACGTACAGAACATGCAAAAATAATTTTATTAATACAAGGAAAATATGCATGACATGTTGCGAGTTTTTTTTTGTACGTAATTGTTTGAAAAAATGCTATCTTCATTATCAGAACATTTACAAATACGTCGCTAACTTCACCCTAAAATTGAGAATTAAAGTATTTTTCGAGTTTCTTTTTTTTAGTTACACAAATGTGTAACACCATTTAATTTACAACATAACTAATCAGTAAAAGCTCTGTTGACAATTTCCTGTAACATTTTATAGTTTTTCGCAGTGGTGAATAATAAGCAGTCATTTGATCAGACAAATCAACTATAGATTTCCATAAATTATAATCTACTAACATTTTTGGACAGTTTGAAACAACTGATAATCACGAAAATGGTCTACAGCGCCTCAGGGGTTATCGGTGACCTTACCACAAATAATGCATTAAACATAATAATACAACTCCCTTTATCAGCTGTAAACAAAATTTCAACAAAATATACATCCCATAATAAAAAGTTCATGTAGGCCCTACAGGTAAATCGCATGAAATGCGTGTTTCAGTCAATGTGTTGAACATGACAAGATCCACGATGTCGATGGAGGGTTAAATAGCATGTATAACAATAACACTTTAAAGAAAATAACATGAACTAAATAATTGACGATGATTTTTTTTTAGGAATATGACAGGCTTGGAATATATTCTTTTACACGTTCAAGAACCTATTTTGTATGTAATTAGAAAACAGCATCGTCATTCCCCTACTTTGGCTGCGCCGCTTACTGATTATTATATTATCGCAGGTGTTGTTTATCAAGCGCCAGACTTGGCATCTATTGTTAGTTCGAAATTGGTAAGCATTGGTAGATAAATATCAGAATAATTTTTCCCTTTCAAGAAGTTAAAGGTTCTTTTATTTAATATATAGTGTGATTACGTTGATACAGCTTTCCACAGTTCATCATTTACAATCTGCGTTTGAAGAAGCTAGTTCGTGTTCTCGTTATCATCCTAGTAAAGGGTATAATTGGGATTTTAAAAATGGAAAATCTATTACTGCTAAGAAAGAAACACCAGTACGCGAAGAGCCAAGTTCCTTGTTTCAGCGTCAAAGAGTAGATATGTTACTCGGAGAACTTACACGCAAATTTCCTTTACCTGTACCAAAACCAGCTCATCAAGCAACAGAGACTAGTAAGCGATCGAATCATTATTACGTATCGGATAATAATATGTAGACAAAATTCATAGTTGCATATTATTTACTATTTTACAGCTACTGATATTAAACAAGAAGTGAAGGTTGAAAAGAAAGATATGAAACCGCCGCCAGAAAAAAAACCTAGAGCAAATTAAAGAGGACAGTTTGTACAAATTTATCAAAGATATCTACATCATAATGCGACATACGAATGCTAAATAGGTAGAATTTTTTTTTTACAAGAATAATAATTTTTTAAGGTATAATTGTCGTACGAGTATGTATGACTAAATAAAATAATAAAATAATGTATATATAATAAAATAAAATAAAATATGTACATGTGTAAAGGAGGTTTACATTTACATGGCATTAATATATACAAGGTGTCCCAGTTTTCCCCCACCGAACGTTATCAACATATGCTACATGCAAATATAAGACAAAAATATCATATAAACATAGACTTCTAAATGTTTTATTCAAACGTTGGTAATGTTTGATAGAAAAAGAACTGGGACACCCTATATATATATAAATATTTAGATGTAGGCGATTCTAATGTTTTTCACTGATTGAAATTACAAATTTGTCGTTATATAATTTTGATGAAAGTATGTAAAAAATATTTTCAGTCTTTGTTTTAAGTTTGTCATGATATTAAAAAGAGATGAGAACTAAATATTATACCACGAAAGAGCCCTAACGTAACGAATTTATTTAACGTTTAATTTTATATGATACTATGGTAATATTATTTCATTATTAAATAATTGCGCGCATGCGTAGGAATTAATTTATAATATAAAAAAGTATGTATTTACGTTTTTGATAGATCACACATAGAAATTTATCATTCTAATATACTTTTAATTACAGAAATAGATTAGATTCGAGAGCAGAGCGAATGATGTGCGACGATAACGTGTGCGATGATTGTTTAAAAACTGAAATATTTCAATATGAAAATGATACTTTCGATGAATTTATCACGAATTTGCAACACAAAAAATGTAAAGTAATACAACTGGTACGAAGACAAATACATAAGTTCAAGGATACGCAAGTACGATTTGTTTTTTATCTGTAATATACATGTATAACCAAAATAATTAATATTTGAAATAATTTCTAATTTATATTCTTTCATAACCTTTGAGATTAATTTCAATATGAAAGGAAAATAAAAAAAATAAAAAAGGGTATTCGATCGATGCTTCGAGCTAATATTAATATAAATGTTATAAGATAATTACATTCATTGTAAACGATGATAAATATAATATAATAATATTATGTTATATATACAAGTAATATATTAATACTACTTACGAATCAAGTGCCATTTATTATATACTCAACAGATTTTACCAGTTGCATGTAACATGTGTGAAAAGATGACTTATAAAATGGAAGGTCAATCATTTAATGAAGAAATCAATCGAACAGGAAAACTGCCAATATCCTTATTTCGTAAGGTTTCCCAATCATTAACAATGCCATCTCAAACCTGGATGGAATACATTTTCTCGCGTTTATGTAGCAGATTTATTCTGGCAACATTATTTATTGGTGCCTTGTTGTTGCTTTTTATCTGCTGCGGCTTTCTTAAAGCATTTCTTTGCGGCAATAATCGATTCTATTTAACATTATTTAGATTATTTCATACTAAACGTACAATATTTTGAACGTAATGAATTTGATAATGGAATAGATATGTTTATACCAAATTGGTGTCAACATCGCAGCATACCTTAAAAGACAAGTCTAATTTATATTATCACATATGCGTTTTATAAAACATTCAAAAACTCCCAGATCTATTATCTTGTTCTTTGTATGTGTATGTTTCATCGTAATTTTTTATGATTATTTTTTTCTTTTTTTTCTATTTATAATTTTTTTTTTGTATATTTTAATCTCGATATAAAGATTATAGTATTTTAATGACGATACCAACCTTTTATATTTTTTAATTGAATATTATTACGTCACTTTGTCTTTTTCTTGTATTATAATAAAAATGATATTGTATAAATTGTATTATCAAAATGTTTACAAAAGATATTATTATTATGAATTTTATCAAATTAATTTTGAAATGAGAGTTAAGAAGATATTCGTTGTACATTAAAGATAATATTTAAATTCAAAAAATCAATGAATAATATTTTAATAATAAAAGACTTGCAAGACTTGACACAAAATATATTAGACTTGGGATAATACATCACGTGTAGCGTTTAGTTAAATTATGCGATTAGTCATTTTGATGTACTCTTTTAATTACGTCAATATCCATAAATCGTTTGGTAATTGATTTCATTAGAAGATATCTTTCTCGCGATTCGATGACATGTGATGATTCTTCGTCGTCAAAGTGTTCGAATTATTTTGTAGATTATGAAATTGGCCATCTTGATATGTTTGTCTCGTCTATTCGAAAGGTTTTACACGCAACTTTCTGGACCAGGTATAGAATTTGCGATAATAATTTCTTTCATCAAGTTGCGATCTGTTTTAAAACTGATCGGTTCCCACGGTCTTGTGGAAAATGGATTTAGCTGTAATAAAAATATTTGCAAAGTTCAATATAATTAATGATCCGCAATACTAATTAAATTAAATAGTTAACGAAGAAGCTTTTTAAAGTGATTAATTCTGTGAAACTCCTCATATCTGAAGTATAAGTTGTAATTGAAATAAATTTTATAAATTTTATCAATTTTACTAATAATATTGTACTTACATTACATCTGTTTGTTTGAAGGCCTTGTTTGTGGATATCGTATGGCGCAAATAATGTGTCTGGTCTTACTGGTAAAAATAATTGTGGCTCTCGTTTAATTTTTTCTTGATCTGTATAAAACGAATGAAACTTATCTTTTATATATTATCTTACAATTAAATATCTTTTACGATGATTTTACCTTGAGGTGATTGTATAATATCAGGTTGTTTATTAAGTGCATAATCAGCGACTTGTTTCAACGTATATTCGACGAAATAAGTATGGTCCCCATGAGTAACGTCAAGCATCGAGTTGTTTCTCGAGTCGGGGGGAGTTATCATAGGTTGTTTCATATACGGTTCGATGTGGGCAGGTGATGTACTACCTCGACGTCGATATACCATAACCATTACGAAAAATACTGCCATTAGAAAAACCATAAAAAATCCGATAAGTAATATAATTAATGGAATCATATTAATTCCACTATCTGAAAAATAATTTATCAGTTAAATAAATTTATTTTCACCGAGAATTCATTATTTCCGATAGAAAGATTTTACAACTGCAAAAATTTATTCTCTATTCCTGTATACTTTTATATACCTGTATGCTTTTCCGAATCTCTTAACGTAATACCTTCCAATAAAAACACTTCGCTTCGACCCTTGGCATTGACAGCATACGCGACTAAATAAAAGTGCGTCGCAGGTAATAGATCTGCAACTGTTATTCGGAAAATTGGAAGGTCTAAGGATATACTAGACACATTGAGACGCAAGTAATCAGAATCATCTTCATAAGCCTCTAAACGAAATTCTTGAGGAAGTCCACCATTATATCCTGGTACACATTCAACTTCTAATATCTCGGAACTTTGATTTAATGAGGCTTTTATAGTACAATTATTTAAAGGACTTGGCTTTGCTATAAAACAATGATTAACAATGATCATAATCATTTAAATCAAACTTTATAATACAATCATTATTAATATTACCAGCAGGAATGACGTGATACGTGCATGGTGTTTCTTGTTTTCCTATCGCATTTCTACCCCAACACGTTAAAGCTCCATAATCTCTTTCAGAAACTGGTGTATAAATGAGTTCGCTTGTGGTACCATTGTTACTGTCTAATTTTGCCGGAGCTACTTCAAAATTTTCACCGCTGTTATTGAATTCCCAAATAAAATCTACTTCGTTAGGATCTGCGTCAACTTCGCATCGAACCTTTACTGATTCTTCCAAGGATGCTCCGATGACTGTTGGACTTGTTTTACAAACAGGTGCGACTGTAAAGAGCCAGAAAATATTACGCGTATACGAATCTATTTAATTATTAATAAAAAACTTTTATATGCTCGTTATTATATACGTCCACTCACATTGTATTCGTAAAGGAACAACAGGGCTTGTAGTTTCTCCACGGTCGTTACTGGCAAGGCACGTATAATTCCCCGCATTGTCACGTCCTATACTTTGAAGCACGAGACTTTGTGTACTCATTATTATCCCAGCTGAATAATTTTGAGTCAATACCGCACCCTAATAAGAAAACATTCGTTATCAAATATATTCGTTAATTAATTAAATTTGCATTTTTTACGTTATATCTCCACGTTATTTTATGATGTTCAGGATTGGCTCGAACTTTGCATTCGAAATAGACGTCATCGCCTTCTTTTATATTTTCTGCTTTCAATGTACTTCCCAGATGTAGTTGAACTTTTGGTGGAACTGTAAATAATTATCATTGATATTAATTGTCGAAAAAAATCTACGTACGAAACTCTTTTACATGAACTTACAGATAACGTTTAATTGGAAGAAATCTTCTAAATATGCACCAAGCAATTCAGGATTTTCACCTCGACATTTGAGAATTTGAGAATTGTCATCAGGTATGGGACTGAATATTAACGTACTTAATACTACTGAAGAATTACCATCATTTAATACCTGTTCAATTTACATTTGAATAAATTTATATATGTATAGTTCTACATATTATTTATCTACATTTTAAATATATAACAAAATATTGACCTTGGCGTTTTGAAAGGGAACGTTTCCTTTTAACCATATAACTTTCGCTCGGGGATGTGATCCTGCAGTTTCACAGCCTATAGAATAATCTTTATCTGTTTCTAGGACTGATGGTTTTGACAATATTTTTACGGACAGTGGTTTTACTAAGGAAAAGAAATAAGTACACAATTATCGTTTGATTATTCAAAAAGATCGCATTATATGTATAGAACATTTCTATCATATTTTTGGCGTTATATGAAAAAACCTCAGGAAACCCCTATACAATACACAGGAAAATGAACTTTTTAGTTTCGTGTATTTGTTAAAAAGATAGATCAAGTATTATTTGTAGATATTGAAAAACTTACAGTAAATATCTAAAAGGACACTCTTTTCCAAAGGAGGTATGAGATTTGTATTGGCAGCTCGACATTTGTACACGGTGTTACGATGCTCCCTTCGTAATTGAGGTACAGTCAATTTACTAACCACGATATTTTGTTCTATTTCTTCTAATCTTCCATCTACTTCTTTCTCATTTACTAACCAGTTTACAACTGGAGTTGGTTTTCCTTTAAAATATAAATTATGTTTGGTCTATAAAGAAATATATTATTATAATTTCATATAAGATAGAAAATAACCGTAGTACCTCCTCTTACTTCACAGGAGAGACCAAATTCCATTCCAACTTCAAAAGGACCAGCAGTTTTATCAACTTCTACTCCAGAACTGTCGTAAATGAGTAGCTGATGTGGTGGAACTGTAAAGAAAAATATTCTACTTTATCATTCTTACATAAATAATTATTTCATATCTTATTTTTACGAAAATACTTTAACATTGTTTTACAAAACAATGTAAATATGATTATTACATGTGTCTTCCTTCGTTTGATATGAATATTTGTAAATAAGAAAACAAAGAAAGAAAGATAGAATGGGGAATAAAGAAAAAGTTACGCCTTACCAATGACTGTTAAATTCACTTGAAAGTTTCTCGTCGGTGATTTTTTGAAATCTACTCGACACCTATATATTCCTTCGTCGTCTAATTGAACAGCTTCTAAAGATAGAGCAGCTGGTTTTGTGCCTGTCATAAAATAAGCTCTGGGCCCTACCGCATTGCTATCTGACCAATTGAGAGCTTTGTTAAAAGCTCTTCCTCGTACGTCAAAGCTAGAAAAATAAATAATATTTTCAAATATAAATTTATTGATTTTTACAATTTTCCATTTATGCACCTACCTGTATATCGGCTTCACTGCATAATCTCGGAACCATAGCACCATATAAAC